TAAGAAAATTATAATCGTTGATTTTTTATTGTTGAATTTTCTCTTTTGATCTTTAAAAATGCCAAAAGAGAACTGCCACCGGCCTCCATTAAGCTCTCTTAATTCTTAATTTAAATGAATATTTATAAAATTTTAAAAATCTTAAATGAAATAGAAATAGAAGTGGGATCCACACCCATAATAAATAATTTAACACGGGTTTGGTGAAAATCGGGTAAGAGGTCAACACTTTCAACAAGACAAGGTGCTGACACTTCTGTTAAGCGCACACGGCCATCACCGTGTCGGGTTTTTGTCCTTCTTAGCAATTTTTGTAATGGTAAACTAACAGTCTTGGTCCCTAACTTCTGGATCTGCACAAGTTGATCCTCAAGTTTTTGATCTTTTCAATTAACTCTTAAAATTTATGATTTCTTTTAATTAAGTCTTTTCTAAGACAAAAAATAAAAATTATATAAAATCAAGTAAAATCTCATAAAACTCATCCAAATATCAATAATATCAAGATAAAAATTCCACATTAATATCTATATGAATTGAACTCATCAAATACTCATAAAACTTTTACATTATGCCTAATAATTAAAGATAATTAATAAAATATTTAGAAATATTCATAAAAATATATATAATTCAAAGCTTAAAAGAGTATATAGAAGTAATTAACACCTTGTCTCTAACATAATCTCCCTACAATAAAATAATTTTTTATTAATCTTTAATGCGTTGGTACATGAATATTTTATAATTCAAATGATAAAGTGGATGGAGTGACCTTCACTTATTATCAAAGACCCTTCATCATCAAAATGTTTTACTCCAAATTATAAAATACCTTTTTGATCTTTAACTCTATGAAAGAAATCAACCCTAATTATGTTTTGCACCTTCTGCTAGGCCATAAGAAGTTGACTAAAAGGCAATAGGATGTTTCTGTAATATATCTCATTCAATTCTTTTCCTTAGCTTTTCTTTAAGTACCTTTCAAGGAAAATTAACAACATATATGTGTGATTTTTGTGATATTTCCTTTTATTGGGCCAATTGATACTTCTCCCTTCCTTTATAAAATTTCCAACGATAAAGATGATATCTTAATTTTCATTTTTTTTGTTATTTTACCATTGATATATTTAGTCATTTAGTTATGAGTTTATCTGTAATATAGCAAATGTAACACTATAAATACTAAATAAATAAAAAATTTTACCCTAGTCAACGGTTGATTTTGATTTATTACG